TGCATGGCGCATTAATATAGTACATTAAAACAATGAAATAAGTGTTGACCGACCCTCGTATAAAGATTGTTTTGAAAACAATGCTTTTTATGTATAAATGCCGCAGATGTGTAAATTTTTTGTTTTTTTGCTGTTTCAATTGACTTCGTATACTTAAATACTTTTTTTACTTAAATTAAATATGTTTTAGGTACACTTGCTTTAAGACTTAAATCAATTCATTTAAATATCATTTAATTTTTTAAAAAAATGTTAATTCAACAAAGCTCAATTTTTACAAAAAATTGAATAAATAAAAATTTTAATCACCCGACTTTAAAGCATTTTGATTGGCTTAAAATTGAAACATTTTGTTACTTGGTTTAAAAATAAACCGTTTGATATATATATATATATATATATATATATATATATATATCAGGGCTCCCAGCAGTCCATGTTGCGAGAAATAGTGACTTAAGAGACTAATAATAAAAAATAAACGACCAAATATAGACCAAATTAATTACCGAAATAACTATAAAATAGAGGTATCCATTTTTTTCGGATAAAAGATCTAAATTTGAATTTAAAATACATAGAGATAACTTGAAATTATAAATTTTTATTGAATTAAATTTAACAAGTAACCATAACTGTTATAAAATACATAAATAACAAAAAAAATATTAAATTCTGTAATAAATTATAACTTATAATAAATAGAATCACATTTATATAAAAGGCACTGGCATCAGTCATTTAATGGGTTTTTTTTTGGTGGGCTGCAGCTGATCTATAAGTTTCGCCTTTCGTTTTTCTAAATCTTGGGCTAGACGACTAATCTTGTAAGTTACCTTCCCCGCTTCTTTTTTGGGATGGTTCACTCCTTCAAACATTAGTTGAGCCATACATATTTTAGTCATTTTTTTTTATTTTCGGCACACTTGCTTAATCATTCAATTTAATTTTTTTTTATGTCAGTATAAGTACATTTAAACTTTGTTTTTATTAAATAATATAAATGTATAATTTTTAATAATCAAAACTTTGATATCTTTGCTATCGTCTGAACATAATTTTTTAGGGTTATGGAATGGATGATAAAACATAGAATAGGAACACATTCTTTGTCACATGTTCTTTGATAGATACTAGGTACTTACTAATTACATGAAAAATGCATATATAGCTAGTGTTAACCTAGCGAACCGAAACTATAAACGTAAACGAAACCCTAGACCAAACCAGAAACAATTCAGCAATAATTTTGGCGGGCGGTTCGGGTCTGGACGGCGGGAACTTTAAATGTAAACTGCGAAGTTTTCGAAGGTTTCACTTGGTTTACTGTGGTTTCGAATATTGAATTGAATATTTATATTTAAAAAAATATTTTTTAATAGTTGATTTTAACAGAAAATATAGACTTTATAGACTTTAGGTAAAAAAATAGACTTTTATAGACTTAAGACAAAAATATAGACAAGTCTTTAAAAAAACTACCTGCTGGGAGCCCTGATATATATATATATATATATAAATGTGCAAAACTCTGTATAAGATTAAAATAATTTTAAAATGCATCTATAATGGTTGCCTATCCATTTAGTAAATATATATATTTTTAACTATGCAGTCCAGCTGTTATCGAGTCTGTTAAATTATGTCGCGAATAGTGTGAATAACATTTTATTGGATAGCCCTTAAAAAAAAATTATGACGTGATGTGAAAAAACGCCGAGACACGGGTATCATTTTTTTAACTCTATTTTTAGAATCTGTAGAAATTTTTCATGGGAGGGACCAAAAATCAAATTTTGTCGTACTGTGTAATAGGAGATCGCGTTGTATGTAAACTATTTAGGTTTTCTTTTTTATTCTAATTTGGCCATTTTCCTCTAGGTTGGACCTTTTGAATTTCCTGCACGGTTAACAGGCCAAATTTATGCAGACTTCTTAGAAAACAATTTAGAGAATTTGTTAGGCGACGTGCCACTGGTATATCGAGTAAATGAATGGTTGCAGCACGATGGGGCACCACCACATTTTAGTCGCGACGTTCGGCGAATCTTGGACGGGCAGTATCCTGGCCGATGGATAGGACGAGGTGGGCCACAAAATTGGCCTGCTCATTCACCCGATTTAAATCCCTTGGATTTTTTTCTTTGGGGACACCTTAAAAACTTTATTTATAGTGTACCCATCGAAACAGAGGATCAGCTTAGGAACCGCATCCAAGACGCTTTTGCGACGGTTACTCCTGAAATGGTCATGGAGTCAAAATCCAGCCTTTTAAGAAGAGCGCGGATTTGTTTACAAATGAATGGTGCACACTTTGAGCACTTATTGTAAACAGATTAGCATATTTTTTTTATTTAGTTGTTAACACATTTTCATAATATTTAATTTAGTTTTACTTAATGTTGTTTGTTTACTTTTACGGAAATTTATAGTTTTTGTAATTTTTTAAAAGTTTGTTTATTTGTTTCTGTAACTTATGACTTTTTCTAAAATTTAAACTAAAAAAGCCTAAAAAATTACAATTTGTTTGATTTTTTACTTTAAAACATTGTCGTTCTGAGGTATCAGTCATTTTTGACAACTTAGTAAATACAGTCGGCCAAAAGATTTTTAAAAGTTTTAAGACAACAATGTTCTATCGTCTCCTAGCAATTTTTAAATCCCCTACGTTTAATCTAGGCAAGAGCTCTCAGTATTGGCTGCCACTTTTTTGCTTTAATTCGCTTACACTATTACCTAGAAATTTTTTATTTTTAAATTTGGCATCTCCATTTCTGTCGGCACGCCCCCTTTTTCTCTGTGGCGCGAGTTCTGGGACACCCTGTATATTTAATATTATTATTATTATGTTATGTTATTTTTGTTATAGTTATCATGGATAACTATTTTTTAATATATAAGTATCAAAGATATTATCGATAGTCTTAAGTTGAGACTCTCAACTAACAATGACACAAAATAAAGGTTATGCAACCAAAGTCACATCGACAACTTAAACCAACCCATGGCGCAATACTTGGCGCCAACAGTGGGCTTCACTTGATAAGAAGTCATATACGACAATGGTGGATGAAGAAAGTCCCGTTCAAGGCTTTCTAGAGGAACAACGAGTGAAAATGGTTAACTACATCCAAAAGGTCCTAAAAGACGGAAGTCATCCAAGAAAAGACTACAAAGAGTTATTACAACTCTCACTTCTCTACCTAGGGGGTTGGTCCAAAAACGACTTCAGTTTCAGGATCCCAGGGGCTCTGCATCAAGCAAGGTGGATGGCAAAGGCAATAAATGCACTTAAAATTGTTGTCTTCACTAAACAGTTGAATATTCCTTAACGAGAATTGAAAGGAATGAAACAGGTTGCACATTTTGTCAGCCTCATATATGTTCGCTTTTGGCACGAGGCAATTGTAAGTCGATGGGCTCCAAAAAATGATTTGGATATGCTACAGCTTCTGAGTACTTACCCAGACGCAAACGTCAGAAAAAGTGCTCTCACAGTTGGTAAGAGCCCCCTTTGGTATCTGTCAGAAACAAACGTAGCTTTTTATGACGAACGTATTACTCATGCTGTTAAGGAAAATATGACTAAAAATTTAGAAACCAAACCTGCAAAGAAAAAGGAAATGAAACGATTAGAGGGTAAAAACCTAGTTTTTGAAAGAAAAGACCTGGGCCATTTCGTTACTAATAAAACAAAGACATTCTTTGAATTGTTTGGGATCAACGACGTGACAGAATACTGCACTGATTCTCTAAGAAGCCATGTAAATGCTCTTAAGTTGGTCAATGATACCGCAGAAAGAGGAATTGCTCTGATAAAAAAATTTAACGAATCTGTCAGGAACGAGGAACAAAACAATTCATATTGAGGGTAGTCGAGCATCACAGAAAAGTCGTCACTAAGCGAACAAAAGAAGGGATTGCATCGTTTAAAGTTGATCACATGTTTTGCCTAACACACTACTTATTAATATTAGTTTCTAGTTTTAATATTATTTTATTTTTGTGATTTCTAGTTTTCCCAATAAAAGTATTTAACATCGTATTTTTGACTACCTTTAAAAAACTGTTCAAAGTGTGCAACCTCTAAATTTTATCCAATCTTCTTGAAATTTTGCGTACATATATTTTACATCACGGAGACTCGGGGCGTGAGCAAAGTCTGCACAAATTTTACATTTTATTTTTTACCCTACAAAATGAAAAACCCTAATGTCCCCTTTTCCAGCTACACCAACTTAATAAAGTTTAATCGCCTATAGGCGATCCTACTTGTAAAATATTAATTTAAAAATATTTTTTAATAATTAAGTAATAAAAAAATAAAATGTGATAAATTAAAAAATATATAAATTTTTCCACATTTTGTGTCAAATTATAAACAATATTAATTAAAATCCCTTAAAAAAAGATAACTAACAGAATTAAAATAAAGTCCAGATGACAATATAATTAGCTTTTATGACTAGAAAAATGTATTATGAGTAAGAAGATATTAAAGATTTAAGTTAGGGTAGCTGGCGGTTTATCATTAGGTTAGTAAAAAAGTATAAATGAAATTGAAAAGAAAAAGTTTTAAAACAGATATTTGAAACTTACTAACTATTTTAAAAATGAAGTAGATTGTATGTTCAGCAACAGTTTTAAATGGCAAATAATAATTGGGTAATATAAAATTATAAACGTTAATTAATGGTTGTTATTTTAATATGCCGCAAATAAATTGTTACCAGATTTTAATAATAGGTAAATAAGGAATAAAGGCAACTAAATATTATTATAATCGTGCCATTTAAAACCTAAACTGCTAGTAAGGTTTACTCATATATTTTTTTTATATAAAGGTGAATATTGTTTAATGACTTTATATTCTTTATAAATGTTACATTTTGACATTAAAAAAATATGAAATGTAAACACTTACTAATACTAATACTTTTTTAAATTTAAATGATGAACTTATGAGACATGCTATAGCCCATAAACGATGGTTTTCTTACCCTATCCATTTAAAATCAATCTTGCGAAGCTTATACGACTGTCTTATTTTTAAAACTATTACTATAATAACTTTCATCACTGTATGAACGTTTTAATAAAAAATTGTTATTAATATCTTTATTAAAATTGTAATTCGTTGTAGTTTGTTTTCCAAAGTTAGCAAAATCATAAGGACTTTTTGTGGTTTGTCCTCTAAAATTATAGTAGTTTCCAATAAAGCGATTGCTAGTGGACTGCGTAGAAATACGACTGGGAATATTTTTTAAAATTTGTTTACCAAAATTGTGAAAATCATAAGGTGACTTTGTGGTAGATATTGCAAAATATTGAAAGGGTTTAGAACTTCTAAATAATTTTGTAGTGTAATAAGGATTTTGTGTAGATGTTTTTGTTGGAAAATATTGTTGGTTTTGATAATAGTTAAACTGACTATATGGATTCTGTGTACTGAAATCGCTGAAATTATTTTTATAGTTTGGCGCTTCAGGTGTAAATTCATCTTCGCCTTCCTTGAACCTGTTTAAAGTTTTAAATTAATATTTTAAAATATAAAAAAATTATAAAACTGATTTAAGTTATTTTTTACAATAATTTTTACTTACAATGGCCTTCCTTGATTTTCATTCCTAATATATGTTGGTGTATTTTGAGTATAATCCGGAATGATGTTTTCATGTTCTGCCACACACCTTCCATTTAGACAATACTAAAAATAATTATTTAATTTTTAAAATAAAAAAAAAACCGAAAATTTAAAATCTAAAATTTAAAGCATCATATTTTAGTGACTTTAGATAAAACAGCAAACAGGCAGATTCAATTCTAGCTAGTTTAATATGAAAAGTATAACAATTATTGTTTTATTTACTTATTTATACAGGGTAAGTGTAACGAAGTTAAGTTAATTTTCCTTATATACAACCGATTGTACACCCTGTACATATATTATAATATTATAATTCGAACGAGTAAGGATTCCACTTTCACCCCGTTTACTTAAATGGGGATCGCCACCGCGCACCCGAGATGAAATAAAACACAGAACAAAGCAATTATAAGCTCTCTTGATTCCGTCAGCCTGACCCCGCAAACCCAAATTATTGTAATTACTCTTGATACATAACCAAAAAAAGATAATTTTCCTCGTGTACGAGCCAACTCTCTCCCCGTAAAGCTCGGTATTTGCTCTGCCGTAGACGGTGCCAAGCAGGCGAATCGGCCGACCACCGAGCAGTGCTCGGATATTTGAAACCGTGTATAGGCTTACTCTGTCTTGCCAAAGCATGCTTTCTCTGTCTTGCCTGCTCTGCTCGCGCCGTCAGTGGGCGAGGCGTATGCTATACGGGGTTTTTAAGGACATTCCAGGTAGAGCGTATTTTTCGTTCTTGCGTTCGAAAATTTGTTTTCAGTTATATTATTATAATATATATTATTATATATAATTATTATTATTATATATAATTATTAATAATATATAATAATTATCTTATAATATATATTTATATAATTATTAAATTATTCTAGCGGGAATTTCAGGACTCTTGGATAAAACTTCATATTTCAACAACAGTTGAAGTTAGCGATTTTTTTTTAAAAACTGTGTCAATGTTTTGACTACATTTGACTCGATATATATGTATAGAAATTTTCAATATTTCACATAGCTCGCCGCAGGGTAAAGTTTTTGATGCACGATTTTGATGATTCTATATTAAAATTAATAATATATATTATATTATATATATTATAATAATATAACTGAAAACAAATTTTCGATCGCACGAACGAAAAATACGCTCTACCTGGAATGTCCTTAAAAACCCCGTATAGCATACGCCTCGCCCACTGACGGCGCGAGCAGAGCAGGCAAGACAGAAAAAGCATGCTTTGGCAAGACAGAGTAAGCCTATACAGCACTTTACTGACTGTTCGATTTGACATACAATATTGTGCATTTAATTCAATAATTTCATATTGTTCGGTAAAGTTTTATTTTTATTTCAATATGTGTATTAATTTAAACCATTGCCTTTTAATTTTAATATAAGCTAACTGACCCCTGGATTATCTGCTATCCACTGTCTAATAGCAAACCCAGGTACGTGCTTCTCCCCTTTAAATTACGAAGCTGGCGCCCGAAACAACGTTTTGTAACGTTCTATATAATAATAATAATTTTATTATTCCAAAGTAAATACAAAAGTATTTATTTTACCAGTATTATTATATGGACATTTTATTATTAAAAACTTTTTTAGTTCATTAATAGGATTTGTTTTAATATTATTTGGTTAGCTATTATAAATTTGTATTCCAGAGTAATACGGCGATATCTTAAACAAAGTAGTCGAGTATCTTAACACTTAAGCATGAGGCATTTTTTGTTTTATATAATCGTTATTACATAAAAACTTGTAATAATTGGATCGAACATATTTTATTAGATTTTAGTATATAAATGCCATACATGGTGAAAATATTATTGTTTATAAATACATCCTTACATGATTCTAATGAATTAAGGTTAAAAATAATCCTAATTGCTTTTTTTGCAGAAAAAAAACTTGATTAATTGTCGATGCTCTGCCCCATTATATTATGTTGTGTGATAAAATAGGATAATAATAATATTTTGCAAACAAAGTCAATCTTCCCAACGAAGTTTTAAGTTAATATTATTTTTACGGTGATAAAAATAAACATATTTAGTCTTACTTTTATTAGGTATGAGTCTATTCCTAGAGTACCAGTTCCTAACCTTATAAATATTTTTTTAGTTCTCTACAAGAGTTGTGACAACGTATCGTGGATGAATGCTCCCCAAATACTTTAAAATGTTAGAAGGCATTTTGAAAACAATATATTTGTATTTTTGTATGAATTTTTTTGTATGAAAATTGCTTTCAGACATTTTTAGAACCTAATATATTAATAGAGATGGGAATCGGAAAGTTTCCATTTTAAGGAAACTTTCCGTTTTGGAAACTTTCCAATTGGGATTTTATTTTCATTTTAAAAGTTTCTTTTAAGCTACCGGAAACATTCCTTGGAAACATTCCTTGGAAACTTTTCTTGTTTTTTTCATTTAAATGTCAATTGTTTAACCGCTGATTTTCGTTAAGGCCATGATACAAGGCCAAGAAACTTTGAATAAGAATTTAATTTGTGTTAATTTAAAGCAGAAGAAGTATAAATAATGTAAGTTATGTTACATAACCTCAATGAAGCCGGATTATTCAGCATCAACACAAAAAACTTTTTTTAAAAAAAGGTAAACAAAATAAATACAATAAACAAAGTTAAAATCATTCTTACATTTTTGTTGTTTATTTATAAGCATAGCACAATGCTAAGAGAAATATCTAGTGTTTGGAATTATTACAAAATAGTGCACAAAAACAAAAAAGACCATGCTCAAAGCAAGTTCTGTAAGAAAATCTATGTCGTTAATGCAACCAAAAATTTGACAAAAAGATAATGTGTTATATATTTTTGCAAATCCCTGGCATAAAAAAAATATTTTCGCAATATGTAACGAAGTTACTTTAATTTTCCCATATTTACCGCCGTCGGTACACCCTGTATGTGGATTTTCGTACAAGTGGATCTGCGACGTCATGATTCCACTTCCATTCTATTCAAACAAGTGGGGAGCTGCGCCGTTTGGTTCCCCGATGTCGCCATTGCGCACCCGAGATATTATAAAAGGCCGAGCAGAGCAATTAAAAGCTCTCTTTTGTTCCGACTCTCTTTTGGTTCCGACTCTCTTTTGTTCCGACTCTCTTTGGTTCCCGATCTCTATTTGATTCCCGAGTCGGGAATCCCGACAGCCCGACCCCGTGAAAACCGAATTATAGTAAGTAATGACGCCCCGCCAACAGGTGTCTAGATATGTTTGAAAAGTATTTTCCCGTGCCCGAGCCAACGTTCGCCCCGTACCGCTCGGTATCTGCTCTGCCGTAGACAGTACCTGGCAGGCGAATCGGCCGGCCCCCGAGAGCCCGTCCCGTGAGCCACGTTATGCTAAAAACCCGTCGAAGGCCCGTAGTATTTTCTTCCCGTAATATTTGATTTCATTTTATTTTACAGCATTGGTTTATTTAAGTGCATTTCCGTATTAATATTTGCTAGAAGTGTGACCTTCAGTTTTTATATTCATTGTTCCCGTTTTTTATTCATTTACTTTTGTTGTCAATATTATTCTATTTAGTTAATGTAATTCTAATATTATAATCTTTTCATATTACTTCAGTTTGGTAATTTAGGTCATCTTTATATACTGAGTGTTCCACATTTCATTATTGTTTAAACTATTATTTGTCTTGTATATCTAGAGTTATTATTATTTCAATATATGTATTAAATTAAACCATTGCATTTTAATCCTAATATAAGCTAATTGACCCCTGGAATATCCTTTCTCCACTGTATAAAAGCAGGCCCAGGTACGTGGTGCTTCTCCACTTTAAATAACGAAGCTGGCGCCCGAGATTTTATAAGAAAATCCTTAAGGTAAGCTCGCGCCATTTATCACTAACGTTACAAAATCCCGAAACAACGTTACAAATAAAAAAAATTTTTTTGAAACTTTCGGAAAATTTCGGGAATTTTCGATGGAAAGTTTCCGGGAATTTTCGTCAAATGGGAATTTTCCCATCTCTATATATTAATATACTTCGTTCTATTGTTTTTATTTAAATAAAAATATATTATTCTATTAAAAACCCGTTCTTAAATTTATATACATGTATGTACAGTAGGGTGACCGCATCTCATAGGGGGTGGACTAAAATGTCGGAATTTTGTTTGTCTGGACCCCACAAATCGATTCCCCTTTCCAGATATTGAGTTAGACGAAATTTGAGCTCAATTAAACGACGTTAACCCGTGCCGCTCTTCGCTCAAAGTTTGAAAAAATCCAAATTTTTTGCCAAAAAGCTGACATATGAAGCCATAACTCCAGAACGGTAAATAATAAAAATACGCTTAATATCTCAAAAGAAAGCTAATGTTGTTCTTCAAAATTTGTAATCTATACATAATTGTTGTTATTGTCAAACCGAGTTACAACAGCCTTTAGCCCCAAAAACATGACCTGGTACCACTAGGGGAATACTTCGTATATTTTGTTATTAAGTAATAAATTTTGCTTTTGTTATTGTCAAACCGAGTTACAACAGCCTTTAGCCCCAAAAACATGACCTGGTACCACTAGGGGAATACTTCGTATATTTTGTTATTAAGTAATAAATTTTGCTTTTTTGGTATATTTTTGAGTTTAAAGTAGAAATATAATAAAAAAACAGGTAATACTGATAAGTCTAATGACATTTTTTATTTTAAAATATAAAAATTAGGTATATAATACATATACAGAAAAGATACAGACGTAGTACCTACAAAGTACATGAGTTAATTTTATATAGTTATCTAACCTATTCTAGAGCTTTTGAAACGTCAGGATATAATGCTCTTCATTTGTTTACAACTTGCAGGACATATTGATTTTGGCCCTCATCTTTAGTCAGAAGGTTGTTAAAGTCGGTTATTAATTTAACACCACGCTCAGCCATATCATTAACTACTTTTAATGTTTTGACTTTCAACCTTCTTGGAAGTCATTATTTTGAGGCCAGGTGTTTGGATGTTGTCTTAGGAAATCTGTTTTTATATTAAATCGGTCAAAGAATGTAAATGTTTCTTTGG